ACGACTATAATAGCAGGCGACATAGCACAGTGAGAGAGTTCTTGTAAAGACTGGGAACGGTGTGGAGTTCTTTTCCCCTCCACGTAACTCAATCAATACTGAGCTAAGGCTCTATCTATCCTTTAACTCAGGAGTTCGGAAGGTGAACGTTTCCCTGGCGGTGCAAGTCTGAAGCATGACTCCAGGCTTCTCCTGAGAAGTCTGATATGTTCCGATGAGCACTGTCCTTTAGAAAGTGACCCCGTCTAAGGCTCTGCATTTATTCTCGGGATCAAATCATATCCTTTTATGATTTCATTCAGATCCTCCTCTATGAGGAGTGGAAGAACAGAACGGAAGAGAGCCATAGAGAAGAACAGAACAAGTTTAATTACTTTATGGTCACAGCGTGGGTCGCTGAGGAGTGAGTCATGTTTAACTTCACGTTATTTAATCATCATCGCTGCCGCATCTGCGTAGCTTTTGGCAGATCTCAGGCCTCAGAGGATGTCAGTCCCGTTTGCTCTCTAAGTGCTCACTGAGAGCTCGCTGCGTGCCAGACGCCGCTGGCATTGGGCTGTCACAGGAGGACACCACCACTGCTGAGGGAAGGGAAGGACCTGTGCCATTTCTGAGGATTTTTTATAAAGAGGAGTTCCAAACAGTTCTGAGAGAGATGAGAGTTGTCGGGCTGCAGCTCTGACCTCCCAGACATGGTGCGGTGGCCAGGCGCCCGATGGCCCACACATGGGAAAGGGAACGCGGTCGCGGACTGGGTGCTTGGCATTCACGAGGGCCCCCGGGAAGCGCCCGCCAGCTCACATGTCCTTAAGCAGGTTTATAGGCTGCGCGCCTCTCTGAAGGTCACGGGGAGGGCTTAATGCATTTTTATTAGAAATAAAGTGGACCATGGAGTGGCCTTTTCACATCTCATTTGGATAAGTTGAACCGGCAAATTTTACTGTATTTTTATAAAGTCGTGTTGTTTCCTGTTTGCCATTTCCCATTTAAAACGCGTTTCTTACCCAACCTGCCATGGAGAGAGTCAGGCTTAAAAAGTTGGGGCTGGGGGGTGAGGGCATGAGTGGGGGGGCGGGAGAGCAATGGGGGATAAGGACACATATGTAATACCTTAATCGAGAAAGAAAAACAATATAAAAAAAGTCGGGGTTGGGATGAGCTGTGATGATAAACGGGCTCACTGAGTAAAGGGGCGCACGTGTACATGCAGTCGGCCTGTGATTCCGGAGCAGCTGCTGCCTGAGGCAGGAAGGGAACGCGAGCACTGAGGGCTCCCGCTCTTCTCAGCCAATGTCTGCGGAGGCCTCACGTGTTGGGATCAGAGCCCACGTCAGCCTGTCTCTCGGAGCCCTGGGTGCAGGCAGCCTCCAGTCAGTAACCGGCTTGCGCCCCAGTGCGATGCCAACCTCAGCTTTGCCAGGAAGACGAGTGGGACAGTGCGTATATAAAGTGTCTCGCGCAGTAGTAGGAGGAGGCATCCAGAATTTCCCTTCCTGGGGTGAGAAGGCTATGCAAGTAGCCAGTGGATACCCTCTCACGTAAGCTCGAGACCATCAGAAAGATGTAGAGTAAAAGCCACCGTCCTGTCCCTGGTGGCAGTCCTTCTCACCAGTTCGCTGTGTGTCCCGACTTTGTAAAGTACTTTGTTTATCTGCATGTTCATCTGCATTTGTGAAACCACACATGTAGTCATTTTGGCTTAGTTTGCAACACATAGTATCATACTATATGCCTTGTTCCCTGACATTACTTTTTCACACTGTTTTTTTGGTCTTTCCTGATATTACAAACAGATCTACTTCATCCCTTTACTGTGTTAAGGTATTTCATTAAATGGAGGTGTCACCATTTATTCGTGTCCTCCCCCCCACCCGCCCGGGGGGGCACATCTATCCCTTAATGTTTCAGTTCCTGTGCATGGACCAACTGGACAGTAAAGGAAATCACGGTTTACACTTTGTTTCTCTGCTTTGCAAGGAGAGTTTGGCATCTTGAAGACGCTCAGTGCGCTGAGTCATGCACAGTGTATTCAGATCTCTTAACTGGGACAGTGACCGTGTCGCCAGGAGATCCCTTCTTCAACTTGTCTGACTGTGGGAGTCTGATGGGTGGCCCTTGACCGTCGACTCCGAGGGCGTGGGTGGGTCGCAGACAGGGCGGCCTGTGAGGAGGCAGCTGTCACCTGATCATCAACGTTTCCTAAAACACGTTTTGTCAGCGTCTCTCCTTCATTTCCTTCCTTCCTATCAAACGTTTACTGCCGTCTGCTGTGTACTAGATCCGGTCCCTGTCACTAGGCACTTTCCAGGGTGGACCACACATGGAAGAAATAGTGAGAATGACATGTTCTGTGATAAGGAAGAGCTGTCTTTAGGTGTTCACACGGCGCTGCCGGCTGCGGAGGGCGGGGCAGGGACCCCTGGCACGTGGACCACCCGGTTTGATTCAGTAAAGATTTGCTGAGAGCTTCCTCACGCCAGCGTTAGAGAGACAGGCCGAGAATGTACCGGAGTCACTTGTCCCTTCACTGGTAGTGTCCTTCTAGCTTTAATCGGCGCAGGAGTAAAGGGAATTGTACGATGAGGACATTATCATCTAAAGGCAATGGTGCGATTTCAGTTTCAAAGTTGCTGGAAAATATATTGTGTCATATATAGATGATGTGTAGGATAAACATATAGATTCTGTACTCTGGGGACCCTTGCAATCTTAGCAGCTGAAAAATTGATGTTCTAATCTATACTAATAAAAGGGTAATTTGCTAATTAGACTGGACATCTTCCGACGTCCTTCTGGACAAAGCCACAGTGGTGGGGGCTGAGGCAGAGGCAGTTAGGGGCCAGCAGGGGAGGGCAGTTAGCGGCGATCAGGCTGGCAGGGGAGCAGTTAAGGGGCATCAGGCCTGCAGGCAGAGGTGGTTAGGGGCCATTGGTCAGGCAGGCAGGCGAGTGGTTAGGATCCAGCAGTCTCAGATTGCAAGAGGGGATAGGCCGGGCTGAGGGACACCACCCTCCACCCCCGTGCACACATTTCGTGCACTGGGCCTCTGGTATCCTGATAAACCAGAGGTGTGGTTTGCCTGCGTTTTGTGTGTTCATAGACAAGGCCGCCTCTTTGCTGTCCCGTGCCTACTGGTCTGCACCTGCCTGCCCTCCCCCCTTGTCCATGTGCATATGTGAGTGTGGGCAGGGAGCCTGCAGGCTCTCGGAGCTGTGCGCCGTGCCCCTCCCCAGGGCAGGCTCTGCGCACTCCTGTGAGCTCGCTGTGCAGCACGACAGCCCAGGGGTTCTGGTCATTCTCCGCTGCCTTGCACACGCCCTGTTGCTCTCTCAGCCTCCGCCCCTCACAGCCTGCACAGCTGTGGGCTCGGGCTTCATAGACTCGTTCCGGAAGTCACAGCCCTTAGCCCGGCCTCTGTCTGCGCAACTGGCTGCTCACCATTAGCGAAGGCAGGAGGCCCTAAACGTGCACCCTCTGACCTTCAGCGCGGCCCCCGTGTGAGAGGATTGTTTGTAAACTGCAGATGGGGACACCACTGCTTCTCCCCTCGGGCTAAGATTCTGCTTTCATGAATTTTGTGTATTTTTCTGCTAGAACCCAAGACCCATAGGAAGATGGAAGTGCTTTATGTTCCAACTTTGCGTCAGTACGCAGTACTGAGGGCTCCCTGAGATCCTGTATGCAGATCAGGGCGTGCTGCCCCAGGCGTGGAGATTTTGAGACCTTCATGCAGCCACACAAAAGCTGCCTGTTGTTGAAGCCATTGGTAAACATCACATGTCCATGGTCGGTTTGAGATCTTACATAACATTGTTCCGTCTGAGGAAATGCATGTAGGCCAAATGCTCCGTTATCAGATACTACAGTGTTAATGCTGTTTTGGAAATGAAATTGCAGTTATCTCAAGAGGAAATGGTCTATTTGAATCCCATAATTTGGGATGCTCTCTGCTTAGAATTTAGGATAAATGGATCTTTCTATTCAATATTTTGTAACCTAAAAAAAAGGAGGGGCCAGTTGGATCTTTTAAAAATATACGGACTTGACTTCTTACTTTAAAATCAGTTAGGAACCTAATTCCCAGTGCATCAGATATCTCAATGGGAAGAGCTATTTTCTTACAGAATAAAAATGGAGCAGAAAATTGGGGTGGCTGTCTGTGAACCGAGGGGTTACACACACCTTTTTAGGCAGAAACCAGGCAGATCACAGATTTGTCCTTGTGCTGGGCGGCAGGCCGACGCGCGCTCCCTGGGTCGGTGGTGGACTCGTGACCCTGAGTTGGTGTTTTCTGGGGGCGTTCCACAGGAATTGGGGGGCTCCTTACCCCATGGCTGAGGGTTCCCATGCTTTCCTGTCATTCAGCCGCTGAGAGTGGGAGCTGTTCAGGTGAACGATTGAGTGGCAAATGGTCCTGGTCACGATGAGTTCTGCGGTGTTCGAGCCGTGCGCCCTGCTCGCGCGCTGGGGCAGTCCCGGGCCGACGTGGCAATGGTCTCCCTTAGAGTCCAGGCCGCACCTTGAGGCCAGAGCACCACGTGCCGG